TAGCCCACGCTCACACAATTACACACCCAGCACCTCTCACAGGGGGGGCACATGCACACACACGCAATAGCCCACGCTCACACAATTACACACCCACCACCTCTCACGGGGGGGGGGCACATGCACACACACGCAATAGCCCACACTCACACAATTACACGCCTATATTTTCACCTCCATCCCTCCACTCAGCCTGCAGGATTTCCCGTCCCTGCTCCCTCCCTGCCCCCCACGCCCGCTAATGTGTATTGCAACCAGCGGCTGCCAGCCTGCGGCTCGCCCCGCCCTAGCAGGGATGGGGAAGGACGGCGGGGGGGGGGGTCTGCGGAGGGGAAATAGGGAAAGGGGGCTAGGGGTGGGGGCTGCAGACGGGACATGGCGTAGGGGGTGTGGAGGGGGGCTAGAGGCGAGGGTGCAGTGGGGTGGGGGGGCAGAGGGGAGAAGGGCTAGGGGAAGGGGGGCTAAGAGCGGGTGTGCAGAGGGGGAGAGGTTGGGGTGCAGATGGGAGATAGGGGAGGCGGTATGGGGGTGTGGAGGGGGGCTAGAGCCGAGGATGCAGTGGGGAAGGGAGTTGGGAGTGCACAGAAGAGGTGGGAGAGGTTTGGGGGTGCAGAGGGGAGGGGGCTAAGGGCAGGGGGTGCAGAAATAGGAGGGGTTTGGGGGTGCAGAGGGGAGGTGGGTGCAGGGGAAAGGGGATGTCAGGGGTGGTGGAAGACTTGAGAGGGAGCGGCTGCCTCTGCTCTCTCCCCACGGGAAGGGGGAAACCCCTCGTCTCTCTCTCCTCCCTGCCGCCTGCCCGCTTCCCTTCCCCCCACCCTCCCGCCCCCGCATGCGGGTTTGCTGGGAGAACCGCTTCCCGGCACGAGGGCATCCCCGCCCTGGCTACCTACAACCGCATCTCCTCCACCGCATTCCCCCAGCGGGTACGCCTTCCCAGCGCCCCTCTATATCAGAGCCCCCCCAGTTCCCGCAGCGGGTACGCCTTCCCAGCGCCCCTGTAACAGGGACCCCCAATTCCCCCAGCGGGTATGCCTTCCTAGCGCCCTGTAACAGGGACCCCCAATTCTCCCAGCGGGTACCCCTTACCAGCACCCCTCTATATCAGGGACCCCCAATTCTCCCAGTGGGGTACCCCTTCCCAGCGCCCTGTAACAGGGACACCCCCACGCATTCCCCCAGCGGGGTCCCCCTTCCCGGGGATCCGCCCCACACATGCAGCAAAGGGGGGATCCCCATTGACACCCCCCTATAGGCGGGACCCTCCCCACGCCCGGGTGGTGGTGGTGGCGGGGCTGTTTACCGGCCGTGCGGCGGGGCGGTGTCCGTCCCCCTCCCCAGAGCTGGCCGCGATCTGCCTTCAGCACCCTGGACAGGCGCCGCGCGCCGCCTTTATAGACAGGCGCGAGCCCACGTGGGGAGGGAGGGGGCTCCATTGACGTCAATGGTCCATTCATAAATCCGACCGGGATTGGAGGAAGGGGGAGGGGGAGCCTCACGCATGCGCGGAGC